CCCCACCACTAACTGCAAACTGGCATTCAGATCTGCCTCCATTTTGTTAGCAATATATATATATATATACAGTGGGTACGGAAAGTAATATAACAAAGAGTGAAAAATTTAAGGGGGTCTGAATTCTTTCCGTACCCATTGTATATTAGTTTTTTACTTGCCAATGGCGATTGTATTGCCAAGGTGTGTGTAGAGGGTTGCCTTTATCAGCCCACTTACTATGAACTTGCATGGACAACCCAGTCTTAATGTTCGTTGAAATACCCGCGAAAACTAGTGATAGGAAATCCAGTTCATTTCCGTATGTTTCGAACAGTTCGATTCATAAAACCGAAACATCTAGCATCCAAGCATAGCTATTTTACTTTTATTGTGGAGTTGCAATAAAGCCATATGTCGTAGTTTTAGTGTGTCGATAAAACTGCTACAGTCGTCAACTCTACTCCAATTAGTTTTAGTTGTAATATTTCTTCTACTTTGTTATTAACTTCTACTTTGCTTTTCTTCATGAAAACGCGAAGAACGGTTCGAGAATTAGGTTACAGGAAAGTCTCGCTAGAAAAGAGCTGGTGGTGCGTTCACTAGTGTTGGGTCGTTCTTGAACGATTCATTCATTTTGAACAAATCTTTAATGTGACTCGGGAAGAACGAGTCGTCTCGGGGAGTGATTCGTTCAGTCGCGCATGCGAAACATCCTATAGGTTCTGTACTGGAATTGGTCAAGTAGTGGTCTGAATACTTAGGACCATGTGATATTTCAGTTTTTCTTTTTTAATAAATCTGCAAAAATGTCAACAAATCTGTGTTTTTCTGTCAATATGGGGTGCTGTGTGTACATTAATGAGGAAAAAAATTAACTTAAATGATTTTAGCAAATGGCTGCAATATAACAAAGAGTGAAAAATTTAAGGGGGTCTGAATTCTTTCCGTACCCACTGTATATTAGTTTTTTACTTGCCAATGGCGATTGTATTGCCAAGGTGTGTGTAGAGGGTTGCCTTTATCAGCCCACTTACTATGAACTTGCATGGACAACCCAGTCTTAATGTTCGTTGAAATACCCGCGAAAACTAGTGCTAGGAAATCCAGTTCATTTCCGTATGTTTCGAACAGTTCGATTCATAAAACCGAAACATCTAGCATCCAAGCATAGCTATTTTACTTTTATTGTGGAGTTGCAATAAAGCCATATGTCGTAGTTTTAGTGTGTCGATAAAACTGCTACAGTCGTCAACTCTACTCCAATTAGTTTTAGTTGTAATATTTCTTCTACTTTGTTATTAACTTCTACTTTGCTTTTCTTCATGAAAACGCGAAGAACGGTTCGAGAATTAGGTTACAGGAAAGTCTCGCTAGAAAAGAGCTGGTGGTGCGTTCACTAGTGTTGGGTCGTTCTTGAACGATTCATTCATTTTGAACAAATCTTTAATGTGACTCGGGAAGAACGAGTCGTCTCGGGGAGTGATTCGTTCAGTCGCGCATGCGAAACATCCTATAGGTTCTGTACTGGAATTGGTCAAGTAGTTCACCTGTTTCGAGTCTTCATCACGTGACAGCCCCATAAGTTTAACCTATGCAGTCTGAGCCGGAAAGAGAATTGATTAGTTCATCTCTCGAGTCTTCGGGTTTGAGTCGTTCGTTCATCACGTGACAGCCCCATAAGCTTACCCTATGCAGTCTGAAAGAGACTTAATAATAATAACCAACTCTTTATTTCCTTTGTTAAAACATTCAGTGTTATGGAAAAGAACCATCATGACAGAAATTTGCATCAACAGTATGGTGAGGGATGTAACATTTCAGTCACACGCTTGAGGAATTCGGCCAATCACAACGCACTGGATAGCTGGCCAATCACAGCACACCTCGCTTTTTCAGACCGATGAGCTTTGTAAAAATCGACGCGTTTCAGAAAGGCGGGGCATAGAGGAGAAACAATAATGTACAGTATGTGGAAAATAATGTGTTTTTTGAACTTTAAACCGCATGAACACATTTCATTACACCAAATACACAAAATAATGTTCTTTTTAGCAACATCATATGACTCCTTTAAAGCTTATGGGGCTGTCACGTGATGAACGAACGACTCTAACCCCTAGACTTTTAGACAATTAATTAATCTTTTCTGTTTCTTATAGCACTTTTGTATTGATTGTAGTTTGATCAACGTTTGCGTAAGTAGTAGATCTGTTAAGGAAGTAACACTTTAATTATATTTCGCTAAAATGAACGAAATGACTCGAAAACAGATTCGTTCATTTTGCTGAACGAGACTCAGAAATCTTCTTCCCGTCACGTTCACTCGCGAACCGCTCGAACACATTCGCACCGATTTGTGAACGAACTGCCCAGTCCGATTCATGAGCAACTCGTTCAGGGCCGATCGGTTTCGTGAACCGGTTTAATCGATTGATTCGTTGAAAAAGCCAGACTCGATTCACGAACCGTTGCCAAGCTGACGATCGGTGGAATGCGCGAGGAAGCCTTGCAACATCAATTCAAGATCATGCGTGCCTTATTCATCTTTCAGGACTGACGTTACGTTACATAGCACAGACATCAACAGTGTGCACCTCCAAATGTAGCATTAAAACTATAATAAGCATATGATCCATATCTGCAAAAAAATTTTTTTTATATTTAGGCTAATATTAATTTTGCATTGAGATCTTTTGCACGTGATTGTGTATTCAGAGTGCCCGCGACCACAACAGTTAGTCTTCTTTGTCCAATTCTGAGCACAACGATATAGCCTACATGCATTCACTGAATCTGATTGTCAGCAGAAGGATGTGGGGTTTCTCAACTTTAGCTGGGACCAGCTGATGTCAAAACACATTTCCCCAAGCATCATGAGCATATACAGGCTCTCCAAACACTCAAGGTCACTCACCCGTTTTCTGTTCACCAGTGCGTCTGATATTAAAAACGAGAACGCGAAATGTTGGTTTTCAGAAGAGTCCAAAGCGAGATGCTCGCTGTTTCTACCAACTTCTCCCACAGGACGCAGTTTTATTTCCAGTCGGCGGAGAGCTGTAGGCGGCCGTTCCTCCGCCGTGTGGTCAGAACATGTGCTGTTACATTTAGCAACAGGTGCATTTCTGAGGCCCCGCAGGGGACCTTCCCCCCTGAAAACCTTCAGCATCTCCACCACATATCAAATGATGCATTGTGTTTAATAACATTATGTGGTGGGTATTACACTGATTCCTTTGTCTTTCTTAGGCTATCTGACTCTATGTTTCCTAAACACACAATTACTTAATATTCTGAATCTTTTAGCATAATTTCACAAAATTAAAGAAACAATGCTTATAATATATTAACCTTGATTTTTTTCTTGTTAAACACATTGTATTTCATATGATGTCAGTCTGAATGTTTCCTTGGTAAACAAGTTCATTAAAACGTTGAGGAACATATTGACACCGTTTTATTGATTGATTTATCTTTGTTCAGGTCATTTTTGCATCCGTTTTAGACATGCAATAATTCATTTGTGGGGCGGGGGATGATAAAGGCATAGAAAATGTTTTACAAATCCATTGAATATAAGAATTTTCTTTTTTAAATCAAGCACTGGTTATAATATCCATGTATGATATATTAAATGAGATTGTTATGACTCAGTCTAAACATGTCAGTGTGAGAAAACACATTTTGAATGATTGATTCACGTTATAAAACCTTTACAAAAGTCAGAATAAATATAAAGTTATTCTAGGTTTATCATTTCCCTTTCCTCCAAAACTTAAACACTCACATTGAGATATTAATTTATTGTTTACTATATTTACTCTAATACAATTTTTGCTTGATTATATTTGTGATTAAATCTATAATATTTCGAGGAAACTTACAGAGACAGTTGATGAAAATACATTTGTAAGTTGGAAGATGAAGAGAGAAAGCTCTAATCAAAACCATCTAGTCTACAAAAGTTGATAGCTTGAGAAATATACATCAGTTTCTGTGAATCTATTAAATGAGTCCCATTCCTCATTCAGCAACCAGAATCACAACCTGTACATCTTTTGGAGGAATTGGTGTAAGTATTGTGAATATAAGTGGGTTAATACATAAAAATAACATTAAAATTATTTGTGAATGAATCTTATTTGTCTGGTAAAACCTTTACCAGATTAGTTTTACTAGGATTTTCGCAAACTTTTGACAGGACTGGAACTGATGAACAATCAAAACAGATCAACAACGCATTTTGATTTTGTTGATCACTAAATATGCGTAGCTCAAACACTGTTGTTGCATTTCGGCTGTATTTATATTGAGCTGAATTGTCATTTTATTTCAAATGTGCACATTTTTACTATTAAAGGGGTCATATGATGCGATTTTTAAATTTGTCCTTTCTCGTGTTACAAGCTCTTGGTGCATAAAGAAGATCTGTAAAGTTGCAGAGACTAAAGTCTCAAATCCAAAGAGATATGCTTTATAAAAGTTAAGAGTCAGCCACGCCTACCTAAAACGAAACAAGCAAGCCCTGTCCAGATTTAAAAAGTAACGCAACACATTACTTTCCATGAAAAGTAACTAAGTAACGTAATTAGTTACTTTTTTATGGAGTAATGCACTATTGTAATGCATTACTTTTAAAAGTAACTTTCCCCAACACTGTTTACCATTACATCACTTGCTCACCAGTGGATTCTCTGCAGTGAATGGGTGCCGTCAGTAGTCGTCCAAGCACTGCTTTTGCTGGCATTTTAAACGCACACCCTCCCCAAATAAAATGTAGCCCACATGGAAGCCAATAATCATAGCTCAAATACTGCCAGTGAATTGCATTTACACATTTGTGCTATATCTATAACTAGCTAAATTGAGGGATTTCATCAGGGTACTGATTAAGTCATACTCGGTAGTAGACTTTTATAGTGACTGAAGGCAACTACTCATTTGTTTTTGACCCTTGACAATGTTAATTTTGGACTTTAACCAACACAAACTGGAGCTTGGTCAATAAAAGGACAGACTGAGTCAAACAATTACTTTATTTATGTTCAGGTAAAAACATGAACCTGATGCAGTAAATTATTGCAGATCTTAGAAACCAGCACATGAACAATGAGGACAGGAGGGCGCACAGCAGCACCTCCTCCTGGCCACAGACTGCAGTGCACACCACGGTTTGTTCCAAGCCAGCAGTGCAAAAATAAACTACAGCAAGAGGGGGAAAAAAAATTAAAGAAACAATAGAGAAAAAAAAAAAAGACAAAAAGGTAGACGGTCCCACCTCAAACCGGGTGTGAAAACTGCATATAAACTTTATTTTATTTAATGAACTTTTTTTAATTATTTTTTTGAAATGCTATCTGGCCATGAAACCATAAAATAAGACCAGCCAATTCTTTTAAATGAATTTCTTGTGCTCAGCTACATTATGGGATTAAAGCCTGGCTTCACCAGCCAAGCAACTTCAGCAGGCCCATCATTAAGACCTTAAGTCCCCAAAAGTCCAGCAGAGGCACACTACTATAACCATATAGGAGTCTATTCATCCAACACAATGGATACATCTTTTTTTAACACGGAGCTGACACTTTATGAGAAATGTCGGCCAGAAAACTATTTCAACTTGGGTTAAAAAAAAACAAAAACAAATAATAATAATATATAATAAAGATACTACACTTCCAACACCACCCGCATTCAACCAACTGGAACTCTCTTACACATTCAAAATTCTCTCAAATAAAAAGGAAGAAAGTGACAAGAGGAGAGAGAGAAATTAAAGTGGAACCAAAACGTAACAAGACTTTCGGGGGTTTAATACAGAACAGAGGGGAAACTGGGCAGGAGAGCACACAGCTATTCTATCAAATGTGTCGTATAAGCAAAATCTGCAAATGTTTGTCTGTACAAATGATCTTTGGAGCTATAGGAACCCTCGCCGGGTTGATGGATGCCCCCTCCCCAACAGGAACACACAGTGAAGATGTCATTCACCAGGAGAGAAAAACAAAACAACAAAAAACATCCCTTTTTTTCTTGATGCATCATGTCACAAATGTCACCCAGGTTTACTCCTCTTTTTTTCGGCTTGAACATCTCTCAACTACTGATATATTTTTATAATCTGCTCCGAAGTGTTTCTTTTTTAAATGTTTTCTCTCTCTCTCTCTCGGTCTTTTATTTTTTAATCTGATGAGTCGCATAATACCCTTTCCTCCTGGTTAGGAGTCAAAAGGAAGTCTCTTATGTTCTATCGTTTAGTTTCTGCAAGCTGCTTTTCTTTAAACAAGTAGGCTGTACATATTTTGCCTCAATGGGGGTGTTTTCAAAAAGAAAAGAAAAAGGGCAGGGGGAAAAAACAAAAGAGGAAGAAGTCACGATTTGTGTGGTTCTGCAGTGAGTTGATTGAAGGCCATTTTGAGTGAGAGGGTGCAGGAGGTGAGATCAAGACAGATGGAAAGACTGCTGGCCCTCGCGCGCAGCAATCAACAGTTTCTCGCGCATGATCTCGATGCTGGAGTAATCCGGCAGTTTCAGGTAGTTCACACACGTCATCACCGACGGAAGGAAGTCGTCCGGGTTCTCCGTCAACTCGAACGTCTTCCGAACGATAGTGAGGGGAGGGTTTAAACTCCGGAATCCTGAGAAGAAAACACAGACACGTTACATGAGAACATCTTCCTGATGGCTTATACTCTGTGGATAGAAATGGTTCCTCACCTCCGACAGGAAGTCTGGGGCTGCCTGTGACAAACTGCAGGAAAAGTCTCTGCTGCTCTGCATCAAAACTGCTCAGCACCTCAAACAAGAACCGCACTGCACGGCTACAGACACACAACAACATTTCTGTCATTTATACAGCCGGGAAAGTTACGCGACTATAATGCATGTTGTGATTAAGCATCTATTGGTTTTTGGTTAGGCTGGAATACAGTACACAACATGAAAATATGTTCAGATTTTAAAACACAAGGCATCAAACACTTGCCAACTTGGTAAATGGTCACAGAGAAAAACTAGTCAACGTACACTAAGGCTCACACACTACCCCAGATCAAGACACTCTAAATCAGGGTTCCTCAAATCTTGCCTTGGAGGGCCAATGCGCTGCAGAGTTTAGCTCCAACCCTGATCAAACTCACCTACCTGTGTAATGATCCTGAAGACATTGATTAGCATGCTCAGGTGTGTTTGATTAGGGTTAGAGCTAAACTCTGCAGGAAAGTGGATCTCGTGGGCCAGATTTGAGGATCCCTGCTCTAAATGTAAGCTCACAGAGAAACACTGCTAGGAGACACATGACAAATAAAAACAATGTCTTCTAAAATTGGCTTATAATTGCTAAACTGGACAGAATGAGGCTTAATATTTGTTGTGAGGCGTTTTGAATCCCTCTGAAGACCGAAAAGTCCTAGCAACACCTATGTAACCCTATGCTTTGAGGATTTTTTTTTTGTTTATTTGTAGTTTTATTTTTTCTCAGAAAAGTGCATAGAGTATATTCACTAGTGCTGTGTTCAAAATATCGGTACGACGATGTATCGTCACAGAGATTTGACGATACGAGTATCGATACAGCTCACACTCAATAAACGGCTAAAAAATATGTGACCCTGGACCACAAAACCAGTCTTAAGTCGCTTATTTGTAGCAATAGCCAAAAATACATTGTATGGGTCAAAATGATTGATTTTTCTTTTATGCCAAAAATCATTAGGATATCAAGTAAAGATCATGTTCCATGAAGATATTTTGTACATTTCCTAAATATATTAACACTTAATTTTTGATTAGTAATATGCATTGCTAAGAACTTAATTTGGACAACTTTAAAGGCGATTTTCTCAATATTTTGTTTTTTTTGCATCCTCAGATTCCAGATTTCAAATAGTTGTATCTCAGCCAAATATCGTCCTGTCCTAACAAATCATACATCAATCGAAAGCTTTCAGATGATGTATAAATCTCAATTTAAAAAAATTGACCCGTATGACTGGTTTTGTGGTCCAGGGTCAAATATAGTGTGTGCCCATCGTACACTAGTTGATTTTCTGGCCAATATCTGCAGACTGGCTTTGACTTTGGTCAACCAGCATCAACTAGTGTCGACTCCTTCAGACTGCAAATCAGGGCAAAAGTCCCATAGTGTATTCCAGCCGATGCAGGCATGACTTTATACCTGTCATGTGTGTAGCCGTGGTCCGGTCTGCAGCACTCCATTAGTGTCTTCACATCCCAGGACTCTGACTTACTGCCACATAACAACTGATCCAGCTGTAAAGGGAAAGCACATGAAAAGAAAAGATTTAACGAAATACAAATTTCATTGCAAAACCACCAGTTAAAAAGGTCATGAACTGCATATTTTTTTATATTTCCTGAGGTGAACTTGCAATGTTAGTAGGACTTTTACATTGGTGTTTCATTATTTGAATACTCTTTAAATGGGTGCATCTCCTTCAAGACTTCAATGTAAATGCTGACTGCTGTTTTTGTATAACGTGTATTAAATTAGTATTACAGGTGGAACTCTTCTGAAATCTTTCACAATGTCTTTACCATCACAGCTGTTGAGAACTAATCCTTTAAAGTGTTGTTTATAACAATGGATTTAGATCTACTCTCATTGCATAAAAGGTTGCAGCACTCAGCATTATAGTCAATAACATTTCTGCAAAGACCTCGCCATCGCACCGCATTTCCTACACTCGAATGACAGCTTTTATCATAATTAACAAAGTGCAAACCTGTTATTTTAATATTATTTATATATTAAGGACGGAAACTAGGGGTGCTCCAATCAGGATTTTTAAGGCCGATCACAGAAAGCAGTATCTGCCGATACCGATCTTTTTAAAGCCTTCTTTTTATCATTTATAACGATTTATAGTGATACTCCAATCAGGATTTTTAGACATTTATTCAGGGCCTGAATTTCATTTTTGAAAATGGGGGGAATTCCCCTCTTAGGTGACTCTTGTGAGCGGGGATCCGTGGCTGTTTACCACAAACACAACATTTATCCATTATTTTGATTTCAAATCCTAACATTGTCACTGAAAATCCTTTTTCAGCATTGCAATTCTTTTTTTACACAGTACAGTAATTCAATCTTTCACAGACATGTTTAAACAATAAATATAAGCAACACATTATTCAATACTTTTTACTTTTGCATTTACTTCTAGATTTATATATTAAGTTGCTCAAGCAAGTGGCAAAACATTTAAACTACATTTCTTACGTTATCACAAACTTACCACTGACAGAAATAGTCATCTCTACTGCCTCTCCTTTTGCATTGAAATCTTTATTATAAACAATCATGCGGTTCATAAAGAACTTTGTTTTCCTACCTCCACGAGTGCCATCTATTATTGCCTTGTTTATCTAAAAGTGCTCTTTCCCTTTAAACCTAGCCAAAAAGCCATATGTGTTGACTGAAACACAGTAGACTTTAATTATGTGCATTTATGGTGTAATTACTACATTTTCGTGTCAATCCATGTTCATATTTACTGCAAACAATGCATGGTCACTTTAATTCAACACTTGCAGCGCAGCAATAGACTCGGTGCGGAAATTATCTCTGCACTGCTGCAGACGCACCGCTTCTGAACACACTGCTGGACCACAACCATGTGCAGTGATAGCTTTAATCTGTTAACATGAGCGCGGAAAAAATACGCACCACGTATGCACTGCAAACAGAATAATGTGAACCTGGCATTATGTGTGTGCGCTGCGAGTGTGCATGAGCGCACGGTCTCCAGGAGAGTGTGCGAGCGCTGAATGGTTAAACACTGGCAAGAATTATAAAGTAATGCAATTTATAAACTTTAGTGACGATATGACACTGCCTCGATAGTGCAAGTGACAATTCCTGTGTCAACTGTGCAGCATGCAGCTCGCTTATAGACAGACGCGATGTGGTGATTTAAATACATTTGCGTATTTTGAGAGAGAAAGAGAGAGCGCGCATTAGATCTCACACACGGTTTGAAAATGACTTTATAAGTTATTTAATTAAGAAATATGAAGGTGAGTACCTCACCCTTCAGCATTATAATTATTTTACCCGTGCCGGACAGAGACTGAGACGGTGCAAAAGCTGAATAATCAAAGCCTGATGATTAATATGTGAAATAATCAACGATTTTTAGTTTTAAAATCATTAGATTAATAAATTGTATTTTGAGAGAGAAAGAGAGAGCGCGCGGTGATTCACTCACGCCGTTTGTGAAATTAGATCTCACACACGGTTTGAAAATGACTTTATAAGTTATTTAATTAAGAAATATGAAGGTGAGTACCTCACCCTTCAGCATTATAATTATTTTACCCGTGCCGGACAGAGACTGAGACGGTGCAAAAGCTGAATAATCAAAGCCTGATGATTAATATGTGAAATAATCAACGATTTTTAGTTTTAAAATCATTAGATTAATAAATTATCAAAATAATTGATAGTTCCAGCCCTATTCATACTTTAGGTTAACATTATTTTCAGTTTTTATTTTAATTTGAGTAATTTGTCCTTTTTTTTTTCTTTTTTTATATGTATCAGTTTTAGTTTGTCAATTTAGTAATTATTTTATTTAAGTTAGTTGCCAAGGCAACATTTCTTTTTAAAGGGGTCATATGATGTGATTTCAATTTTTCCTTTCTCTTTGGAGTGTTACAAGCTCTTGGTGCATAAAGAAGATCTGTAAAGTTGCAAAGACTAAAGTCTCAAATCCAAAGAGATATTCTTTATAAAAGTTAAGAGTCAGCCACGCCTACCTAAAATGGCTCATTCTAACACGCCCCCACATACCTACATCACTATCTGGGAAGATTTGAATGACGCCGCCCAAATGTTTACGCAAAGAAAGGCGGCGTAACTTTTATTCTTGCTGTAGTATTGTTGCTCAAAATAATTGATAGTTCCAGCCCTATTCATACTTTAGGTTAACATTATTTTCATTTTTATTTTAATTTTAGTAATTTGTGCTTTTTTTTTCTTCTTTTTTTATATGTTTTAGTTTGTCAATTTAGTAATTATTTTATTTAAGTTAGTTGCCAAGGCAACATTTCTTTTGCCAAAGAAGATTACAAAGAAGATCTGTAAAGTTGCAAAGACTAAAGTCTCAAATCCAAAGAGATATTCTTTATAAAAGTTAAGAGTCAGCCACACCTAC